TTATAAATTTCAAGAGAGAAAACAGTTCATCTTTCTCCTGCAATTTAGGCTGAAAAAACAGTAATAAACAGCTCTAAAGTAAATTAAAACGAGACATAAACAATGTTCATAGTTGGAATAACCATGTTTTAGTTTAAAAACTTAAGACGTCATATGCTCAAGCTCACTAAAAAATGGTGCACTTCAGTTGAATTTGATTGGCATTGGATACACATTTGAATATGCTGTCTCACTGTACTGTGGTGGATTATATTATAGTGGATGATACAATGTGGCATTTCACTCTCCATTGCCAGTATAACTCTCACCACATGACTATGTAAATGTTAGATGTTTGTGACCCACTAAGGGGGTTGGATAGCTGGCTAAAGTTGTCAATAAGGCAAATAGCACCTTTTAGGTGGGAATATGCAAATAAACCGTAAAATGTAAAGAACACAAACATGGGAATTATCCAGTGTCACTATCCTACCATATTTAGAATAGAGGGCTCAGTGTAAGAAAATGGGACACTTGATTCTATTAAAAGAAAAAAAGGAACAACAAAGGTCAATGCATCTTTTGGGCTAGATATTCCTTCAAGGGACAGATTAAGACTGAATGGAGTAAAAATAAGGCACAATAGTTCAGAGACCAGCAAGGTGGCAGAGTACTAGAGACCAGTATGAGATATAGTGGGCTAGGTTTGCTGACCAACAGAGCTAGAGCCAAGTGCCTTTGCGTTTAGATTTACAGAGACAGATATGATTCTAGGAAGGGTAGAGAGTTGGTGAAAGAGAGGAAGATCCTTGACCAAATGGACTGCCACAGTGACTGCCACAATAGGCTTCTGTGTGTCAGAAAGTGGGAAGATGGCACAGGATAGAACAAGGCACATAATTTTTGTTCGTAGGGTTGCTTTAAGCTGTACTCAACTTGACAGTACCTAATGACAACAAAAGGAATAGAAGTGAGGCTTGTTGGTTGCTTTTTTTTTTTTTTTAACATGGGGTGGTCATAGATTCCAATGATAAAATTTGAGCAAAACCCAAAAAGTTATTGTTGCAATTGTGTGCAGTTGCATTGGAAATCATTCCTGACTCTCCAGTGGGTTTTCAGAGGCAGTAAATCGTATGGAAGGAGATTGTCTATCCTTCTGTGGGGCAGCTGGTGGATTGGAACCACATGTTTTGGGGAATTAAATGCAGCTTCTTAAACTAGACCACCAGAATATGAAAACGCAGTTTTAAGGGACACATTTTTAGTAGGGTATGGCTGCACTTGATAAATGGAGATGGGAAGTATTATGTACATGGATGAGTTTTTCTGTGGTCTTAGTTTATTTTTAAATATATTTACGTAGTTTTTCTTTAAGAGACTATAATACCAGTTGGCAACATCAACTTACTATCAGATACAGTACAAAGTTGAAATATTCTACAAAGCATTAGTAATATGTTTCACACAGGGAACAGCTATACTTATTCATGTAGGTCATGGAAATTTGCTAATGTGAGGAGAATTAGCTTAAGTCAATGCCATATAGAACACTTCTTTTGTTTGTCTGCAATGGAATTCTAATAATCGTCTCAAACTTTTAATTTGGATTGAATAAATGTAAAATGCCCAGCACTGTACATAATCTTCTTTGTTAAGATGTCAACCTTTGTTTTTTAGTTAAGACTTAATGAACCTTGATAACTGGCAAAATCTTGGAGGCAGAAAGTGGGATGGACATTGTCAGTCCTCTTGACCCAAAACAATGAAACCATTGTTGGCATGAAGATTCTGTTGGTTTTGGTTTGTTTACTTTTATTTTTAAGGGAGAAAACATATGTATTCTTTGGTATTCAATTGTATCAGAAATATTAGTAAGTTAGGTATAATTAAATAGTTCTTCAATCAGTTTGTTACTCAAGCAAAATAGGTCAATGTTCTTTAAAATTAGAAAACTGAAATTGGTATATAATTCAATAAAATATTTGAACTAAAGGTTAATTTTAAAAATTGTGTAAATAAGCAATAATTCCTTGGGTTTTAGAGGGGGGACTTCCAAACCCAAACCCAAACCCAAACCCAACTACCAAGCTGTACCAAATAATGTACACTACTTTTTCATTGCCAAGAATAATTTCCAATAAAAAAGGCTTGAGGAAGCTAGCATTCCTTTGAAGAAAATAAAATTTAAGACTTAACACTTAGTAGAAAATTGGGTTACATTAGTAAATTTGTTCTTAACTTAAAATTGAATCTTGAGAAGTCAATGATGCCCACTGCACCAGAGGAATTTGGTTCTGGTAGCAAAGCCACTGTGTAGGACTGGTTGTGTTTGCAGAACACTTAGTCTTTGTGCATAGGATCCTCTGCCTGTCAAGAAGGGATAACAGTAATTATTCCCTTCATGGGAATTGAGTGTGTGCTTTGACATCTCTGGCTGATGATGTTAACACCAACACAAATTATTATTATTATTATTAGAACATAATGTATGTATGCACATAAAAAACCAGTATGGTACTCTTTCAATGCTTATGTATCATCCATAAACACTGCTATGCATACTTTGCCTTCACTTTAGGTCAGAGACTAACATAATGACAGCAGGCCACTAATCTAATTTTTATAGATATGAAGGAAATATATATTTTAAAGCTCCATATCATCCTTTTGAGTAGCACTAAACCTGTTAATTCCTCATGGTCTGTGTAGCAATTGTACATGGTCCCTATATTACTCTTATTTTGGCATCGTTTCAAATGTTGGCTCAATTACGTTTCTGGAGACTAGAAACATCCAAGCAAGGCTAGGGAAATGAAAATTGGCTAGCGATATTAAAAATCTGGTTGTTTAACATTTAACTGAGTATCAACAACGTGTTAAAGTGCTATCTAAACAGATAATTAGCTAGGCGATGCACAGTGGGCTCTGTCTAAATTTAGCAGTGAAATTAGGTTTAGCAATGCGAAAACGGGAAAAGAAATTTTCTCAAGGGAAATGGTGGTGTCAGCACAGCTGAGGAATGTCACAATAGCTACATTTCGTCAATTATGATCATCATCAGGGGATCTGTGAGCGATGCAGGACAAGGTTTATTCATGAGTGCATCCTAAGGATAGGTGATGGAAAGGAGTGGCTGTAGAAGACAGGCTTACAGGGGACAACAGAGGCAGGGTGGCATAGGACTGGAAGAAAGGAGGGAGGTGGAGGAAAAGAGGTACTAGACGGAACCTGAGGAGACTGGACTGGAGGCGGAAGTTAGAAAAGAAGGTGGGTAGAGAGCAGAACAGTGTGTCGCTTTGGAGATGAGTAATACATTGAAAACCACAGGGCGGAGGGTAGATAGCCTCTAGTGATTGAAGGGGGAGGACAGCGTAGATGTAGGCAAGCCTTAGTTTAGCTGAGGCAGGCTCTTCTCTGGGCGGCTGACTCTTTTAAAACATTTTTTTTTTTTTAAATTGGAGCACAAGTGTGAGTTCTCTGGTGGACAGCAAAATCTACATAAAATTATGGTCTCAAACTCGGGGATGGGCGTCTGCCTCTAATCAATCCCTGGCCACTCCACACTCTTCACTCAGCAACCCTCATCCCCGTAGGATCCCAGTGGTTCCAAGGTCAAGGCACCTGGGCTGAGCGTGGCGGGAGAAGGAAGAAGGCAGGGTGGGCAGCCATCTGGGATGAGGGAGGGTCGTGCTGAGACTACCTACGCTCCTGTCACGGGCTAATATTTAATACTTTCCAAGGCTGCTTTTCAGCAATCAGTCAACAACTAAAAGGAAAACAGGCAATGAAAATAAAAATCACACGTGCCAACATGCATACGAAAATCAAAGCAAAACACCACCGCACTCGAGGCGCTCCGATGGGGTGTCCGTGGCCTCCTGTTGCCAGTCGCCCAGCGCGGACAGAGAGCAGTCCGGCCACTGGAGAGAAAGCCAGAGAGAACGAAAGCAAACCTTCTTGGGGCCCCTCTTCCCGGGCCGGTTCCGCTGTCCCCTTTAATAACAATCAACCCTCGTAAAGAAAAGAAGAAAAACACTCGTAAAAAAATCGGCCTCCGCGAGCTGGGGGGGAGATGGGGCTGGGAAAGGAGGGACCAGGAGCATAGCTGTCCCGCGGAGCAGAAGAAAGGAGAAGTCTCTCCTTTCATCCCCTATACCCCTGCCAAGGAGGGCGAGGATAGTCCAACAGGCTGCGTCTAGCTTCTAAACAGAAACCTTCAGCATGGACGACGGAAGGGCAGCCCTCTCCTGCCTTCCCCTCCCCACATTCTCGTTGTCCCGGGTCCCCGCCAGAGGGAGAGCGCCGCCAGGGAGAGAACGCCGAACCCAATTGTCCCGCCGCCCTTCGCCTCAGTCTGCGCCGGGGCCACGGTGGACCCGCGAGGGGCGGAGTGGGTGAGACCATTGGAGACGCTGAAAAGGGGGGGGACAAGGCAGGAACGAAGGGCGGGGCGGACTAACCGATTCCAGATTTTTCTTTATAAAGCTTTGCTTTGGGAGGCACCCCGTTATCAAAGTGGATGAGAAGAGTAGGGTTGATTTTTTTTTTTTTTTTTTTACGGGGAGGAGCGTGTGTAGGAGGGCGGGGTGGGTGGAGACTCGGTTTGCACTCAGGGATCAGACGGGAGCGGGAGTTGCGCTCCCTACATCGGCTCTGAGGGTCCGCTTCCTCTCCCCCCCCTCCCGCGCTGGGCGGGGTGGTGCGTTCCGAGTTCCCAGGAGTTCGAGGCGGGCGGGTGCCGGGGGGAGGGGAGTGGCGGCAGCGGCGGTGGCGGCGGCGGGCGGCTCCCGCCTCAGCCTCTGCGGCGGCGTCGGCGACCGCGGAGTGTAGGCAGCCGCGAGCGCTCGGCTGAGTGTCAGCCGGCAGCTACGGCTCAAGAGCTGGGAGTTAAAGACACGCGCGCCGGACCTTCCGCCGCCGCCGCCGCGCCGCAGCCCCTGCTGCCACCGCCCAGAGCTTGAGGCTCGGGGCCGGGCGAGTCGGGGGGCGGGCGGGCAAGCGAGCCGGGGGGAGGGTGGGGGATGGCGCGGACCCCGGGGCCGGCTCCGCTGTGTCCTGGAGGCGGCAAAGCACAACTTTCCTCCGCTTCTCCCCCCGGGGCCGGACTCCTACTGCCACCACCGACGCCACCGCCACTCCTGCTGCTACTCTTCCCGCTGCTGCTCTTCTCCCGGCTCTGTGGTAGGTGAACGTCGGCGGTGGGCGCGGGCTGAAGGAGGCGCGACCACCGAGGGTCCCGGCGCCGCAGCTGGGCTGACGCGAGCCGCTCTCCCGGGCTGCGAGGCGGTTGTGTCGGGCGGTTGGCCCGCGCGGGTACCCTGGACTTTGGCTGGAAACTTTTCGCCGCGCCCGGGGTGAGGCCGAGGGAGGGCCGGGGCCGGCGAGTGCGGCGCAGGCTGCCGGCTCCCCTCCCCCGCGGTCGCTCCGCTCACCGGGGCTCGGAGATGGTGCTTTCTGTACGGATGCCGGGGCTTGGTGCTCTGGGGCTTCTGCGAGTTTGCTCTGGGGACCGTTACTTCCTTGCTCGTTTGCAGAGGAAGCTGTGAGCATGGACTTCAGAGCTAGGGATAACGTGCTGGGATGCTCGCTTGCCGCCTCAATTCCCCCCTCCCCCCCAGTGAAACTTGAGCTCCGAGCCCCGAAACCTTTACGGACCGCGGCCCGGGGGAATGAGACCTTCGGATCCACCCCTCGTTGCCTTCCACCCTGGAGAAGGCACCATGTTTGCCCACCCTGCAAGCATCCCCTGCAGTCGGTTCTTTATGGTCCTTTGGCCCCAGTTCTGCCCTGGCTGCCTCTGGATCTCTTTGCTTGGAACCCGTTGTTGTCTCCACGTTCATGGGACATCTCTCCTACACTGGTCCACCTTCATTTCAGCAAACCTCATTTACGCTAAGAATTTCGTTTGTGTGTTAAATACTTGCTTGCTTCGTCTGTACCCCGGCTGTTCCAACCAGAACATCCTTAATGCTTGTTCCCGGTCTCTTGCTTCCCTCGTGGTGTGTTAGTTTTCCCGTTTGGAAACTGATCTCTTTGTGAGTCCTGTTCCCAGGTGTGGGAGGCTGATGCCTTCTTGCTAAGGATTGTATTAATACCAAAAACCAAACCCTGCCTTTCAGGCTCGAGAAATGGACGAATATGATTATTATTTGGGAAAAATAAGGCCGTCAGTCTTTGGAGATTAGAATTAATGTGCCTTTGAGTAATATCCAAACGGTGTAGGTCATTATTCATTCTAGGGTCATTTGGTGAGGAAGGTGGAGGAACAAAACTTAGGCTCGCGCACAGATTGTGTTTACTTACCTCATTTTTACTGATATGTAAGGAGCTTGGTGCTTCATAAAATTTACATGAAAAAAATGGAAGTTTGCCAGTATTAGTCGTGGATGTCTATGTCTGGAGAGTGATTTAGAAGAAAACCCTTTTTTACAAGTAGGTGTGTCAGGGTAGTAGTTGGTTATGGTAAAGTTTTCATATTGAGGTTGAGTGCCCCTTACAGGTTGAGACTTTGCACTACCACTTTATCTTCACTGTTAAAGCACTGTAGTGACAGGCTCTGATTTACGGGGCATAATGCAATAAATGGCCTGCTGTCTAATCTACACGGTTTCTGTATATCTGCTTCTCACATACTTGGTTTTAAGACAGTTGTTAGTTAGTGCCTTTCTCTCTTTAAAAAGGTGTGAGATTCTCGATTTAATTTGTATGCACTTAGTCCATTGATAAAGATTATGCATATCTCTTAAAAGTTTTATGCCAGGAAAGTTGAAGGGAAGGGTTGATAGTTTCCTATCCAGACTATTAGTACTGAGAGAATAGTATTTGTGCCTGCATAAGGCAGATCTAAATAGGCAAAACCCTACGAAAGACTGAAGCTTGAATAGAGCTGATACAAGGAGATAAATTTTTGCATCATTATTTTTCAGAGTAGTTGTGCAAGTGACGTGTAAATTGCTTTTTGAAGGAACACATTGGTTTTTTTCCTTATAGTATTTTTGCAATAGTATTTTTTTCCTTAAATCTCTTTAATAATATGTTATTAGAGGAACCTGTTAATTTATTTTAGGGATTTAAAAACTCAGTTTAAATAAATTATTTAGAGGGAGTATAAATTGACGTTAGAGAATTATCTCTTGTAGAGACAGACAGTAGCTTTGTATTCTGTGCAGTCCTCATTTAAAGAGCTTCCTTTTTTGTCTTATAGTGTTATAACACCCTAATTTGTGAACCCTTATGACAAGTTTTTTCCATTTACCCTTCTCTATTTTAGAATTTAGTCTTTGAGTAGGGCACACTTGCCATGACTTACGGATGCTTAGTAAGTGTGGCAACACAATTTTAATGTAAGCTGTTTTCTGACATCAACAATATTATAACACGGTTTAGCAAGTACTTATATTTTACTTAGCAGTGTTCATTCACCCATTACAGTCAAATAGAATTAACTCTCCATTGGCTTTTTGGTGTTATTATGTACTATGAAGTAGGAACTGTCTTGAAACTCACCACCCAGTGAGAGATTTCCCTTCTTTCTCCTATGGAGCAGCTGGTTAATTTGAGCCGCTTGCCTTTGGTTTGGTAGCACAACTCTTTACCCACTAGACCACCAGAGCTCCTGTTTACTAAGTATATAGCCAATTTTAAAGTTCAAAAGATTGCTGGGCTTTAAAAACATGACTCTACATGATGATTTGTTAATCAGATTGCTTTACTTGTTTTAGCATATACAGATTCCCCTCCCCCTTTTTGCTGCTGTTTGTGCTCCTCATAATTAGCATGACTTTTAGCTTGTACAGTATCGTCTTTAGCAGAGCATAGTTTTAAAAGAATGTTAGCTTAACTTCTAAAACATTTCATTACTGGAAAGTCTTAATATTTAGAAAGCTATAAATTTTCATTAGATTTGCTGTTTAGTTTGTGAGCGTATATGTTTACAAGTTGATGAACTGATAAGTTTGTTATGCCCCTTTCTTTTTAAGCTTATAAAAGTCCTTAGTTATAAGGTCAATGGGGATAGGTTTGTAGGGACATTTGATTTGATAACTTTTGGTCATTTAGTTCCATATTTATGATGAATATAATTATCATATATAATCAGTAACACCTCACTTTTTCTTTTCACTTATTTTGAGGTTCAACATATTAGCTGGGACATATACTGAGGAAAAATAGATTTTTGAGCCTGAGATTCCATTTGACTGAGCTCTGTGATTTTTATTTTTTTTAATTTAATTATTTTCAGCAAGGTTTTTTCATGAGTGTTTGGAAATGACATTGGAGGAGGAAAAAAGAGAAGAAGATTATTTAGTATGGTATTTTACCTTTTTTACATTCCTGACACTTGGGAACATAGTGTACAAGTAAGGCAGAGTCTTGGCTTCAAGGAGTTGACAGTAAAGAAATAGGCACATATAGGACTGGTTGATGTTTATGATAGGCATTCAGAAGGTTCTGTGGGCTGCCCTCAAAGAGAAGTTCCATAGGTAAAGACATAAATGTGTAATAAAGGAAAAAAAATAGATATTTAAAAATCAATGAACTCATATCGTCTTTCTGTAAGCAGTTTATAGTTTAGTTACTAAAGAGATTATTTGATTTTGAAAAAAGAAAAGACCTCTAGTTATCAGTAATAAATATTTGAAATGTTATTTATACTCAGGAAACTTCAAGTTTCTCATTTTCAGAAAAGGTTATTAATTTCACCTGTCTCCTGGAGTTTTTGTGAGAATTAAATGAAAGAATAGAATAAAGTGCTTAGGAGAGTTCAAGGCACAGTGAGTACTCAAATGTTAACTCTTGTTATAGTGTAGTATATAAGCAAACCAGGCAGGTATTTATTATTTCATACATTTTACTCTGATACCTTAAATAATTGAATATTCAAATGAATTTATTTGCTCTATTTGCATGTCCCATCTTTTTATTACATGTATAGCACAATTGGTACTTGTTAAATGTTTGTTGTTTACAACAAATAGAAAAATAAATAAATATAAAAAATAAATCAATTCAGGATATTAGAATATAGTGGAATTAATTCACCTAGGTAATTGCATTTTCTTTTAGTGGTACAAAATGCATTTTAGAATTTGACAGTGCCCTAATGTCACTTAAAGTGTATCAGTTACTTTGAAAATGTAGGATTTGGAAGGGTGACTTAGTTTGGCTTCTGCTTGTATCAGTGTCGGGCAAGAATCTGCAGTAAATTTGCTATAAGAATCCGTCCAAATTCTTAAAAGATATAATTGAAAGTATCAAATTTGAAAGAAATAATCTAAAGAATCTAAATGTTTCTTTCTTCCAGTTAGCTATAGAAATTGGGAAAAGCTGGGCAATATTGATGGCTCAATTATCTGTATCTTTATACTTAGATTGCTCTAGAGTTTTTGTTTGCGTTCCGTACTTAAAAAACATTTGCCATCAAGAATCACCTTCAACACTTTATCAGTCCCATATATTGTGTAGAATTATGCTCTGTAGAGTTTTCAATGACTGATTTTTCTGAAGTAAGAATGTCAGGCCTGCCTTTTGGTGCACCTCTTGGGAGACTTGAACTTTCAACCTTTTGGTGAAGAGCTGAGAATATTAGCTGTTAATACCACTCAGGGATTCTTTGTTACTCATTCTGATATTATTTAGTTATTAAACAATGCTGATACACGGTTTTTATCTGGAGAGTTAAAAAAACAACCACTGTGCCATTGAACTATTAGTGATGGCCCTCTATCAGGTTTCTGAGATTATAGATCTTTGATGGGAGGAGATTGTCTCAGTTTTTCTCCCTTGGAGCAACTGGTGAATTTGAACTTATGATTATTTTGCCAGGATATTCTTGTCACCTTTATCAAAGGTGTAAAGGTAACAAGCTTTTTCATCTTAAAGCTTTTTCTAAATGGCTCATTCACTGTATTATATATCATCAGTTTACAATTTTATTAAGGTCTGTTGCTTATCTACATAGCCATAGTTTCAGACACTTCAGTTGTTTTGTAAAGAATATTGCTTTATATACTTGGGAGTTTTACCTATTCTGTTTAATATAGCATTTAGGGAGATTGTTTTTCTTGTAGGACTGTTGACCACCATTTATTTTGCTAATTAAGATAAGTAGAGAAGAATTGCCTGTTGTGTTGTGAGTAAATATTTATAATAAACTAGAATTTGAGACGTGTAAAAACATA